TATTTTTATATAATATAATTATATATTATATAATAATATAGAAATAGACTGTGTAATCTTAATAAATATTATATAGTGCGTTTAATGAGATATTGTATATAAATAAAATTATAAAACTAACAATGAATTTCCAATCTTAAAATATTTTCTATTTAAAAATGTATTATTAAAATAATCAAACTTTTTAAATTAAAATAAAAAAAAAATATGAATTTAATTTGACAAAAAATTTCTTAAAAATTAAAAATACAATTTCATTTACATAAAAATAAATCAATTTAGTGTTCAATCAATATAAAAATATGCAAAAGAATATAGTAAAATCAATAATACTAATTCTGAACAATTCGATAACCAATAATAAAAGTCATTTATTAAATGATATGGTTTATTTTCATTTAATGACTCGTTTTATAAAACAGACTTTAGATTTTTCTTATGTTACTAGATTTCCTTTGCATCTTTATTTTTAACTCTCCATAACGATGTTCTATCTGTGGTATTACTATATATATTATTAGTTCATGTTGAACATAACCTTTTTCATTCGGTGTGTAATAAAAGACGGTACGTGAATTATAGAAAATCCAAAAACTGAATGAAAATCATTTATGTAATATAAAACATATATATATTAGTTTAATATAGATAAATAAAGAGTAATTGAATATACTATATTTTTCTTTTAAAATAATTTACTATTATTGTTTTATGATTAACAAATATGTGATGATCTAGGTTATCTTTGTGTTTTTAATTTCAGTCTTGTAATTCCTTATAAAAATGGCTATTCGTCCAGTATATAGGCCTACAATTGTGAAAAAAAGAACAAAAAAGTTCATTCGTCACCAGAGTGATCGTTATAGTAAATTAAAGGTATATTATTTATTATATTATTCATTATTATTTATGAACTTTTCATTTAGAAAACTTTTTAATTTCGAAGATCTTAATTTGATATAGATATAAATATGTGATAATAAAATAAATTTTCAGAGAAACTGGCGTAAACCTAAAGGTATTGATAATAGAGTTCGTAGACGTTTTAAGGGACAATATTTGATGCCCAATATTGGTTATGGAAGTAACAAAAAAACTCGTCATATGTTGCCAACTGGTTTTAGAAAAGTTTTGGTACATAATGTCAAGGTAAAAAAAAAAATTAAATAATTTTAATAATTAGTAAAAAATTATAATATTATTCATAAATTAATAAAATTAGTAAAAGATGCATCTTATTTTCTAAATAAGTATATTTTTATATGATATAGATTTTTTTTTTCTTTTATTATTACAAAATATCTATTTTATTTATTTCTCTATAAAGAATATTTTTTTATAATAAGTTATTTTTATAATTAAGTTATTTTTAATAATTATAACAAATGAAATTTATTTTCTTTGATTTATAGGAACTGGAAGTTTTAATGATGCAAAACAGAAAATTCTGTGCTGAAATTGCTCATGGTGTGAGCAGTAAAAAACGTAAATCCATTGTTGAACGTGCTCAACAACTTTCAATAAGAGTAACTAATGCCAGTGCAAGGTTACGTTCTCAAGAAAATGAATAAAAATATTCTTATTTGATTTAATAATAAAATATTTAAAACAAATATTTCTTTTAATATTTGTCCCTTTATAATATAACAAAAATACAATTTTAATACAGCATTTTACAATATTTTATAATATTGAAATCATAATCGATTTTTCCCATACTATATATCGACAATAAAAAAATTAATTTATTTTTCAGACTAATTAAAAAAATTAATTAGAAATTATTTTATGAAATCTTATCCAATCCATGATTATTCATAATCATAGAAGAATTATTAAAATTATTTCATCTATAATGAATAAGAATTATATATTTTGAAAAGAAATTGTACGTAAAATTTTTTTGGAAATTCTAAAATAAAAATTTTTGACTTTAACCAAATTTCGATTTTGTATTAGAAAAATATAATTGAACAAGAGTTTGTATGTAAAATTTTTTTAGGAATTCCGGTAGAAATTTTTGTGGTATTATATATATTTATATTATTTACTTACTATTATTTATTTATATATATATTTAATTATGAAATAATTTTTAGTTATCTATTATAACTATTTTTTTTTTCATGTTTTATATATTATTCTTTTACTTATCTATCTCTTTTTAAAACAATTTTTGATCATTTAATTAAAGAAACATTTAAAGGTACATTTTTTGATTATTTTATTTAATTTTACTTATGATATTTAGTATATTTATTTTTTACATATTTACACTGACATTTTCAAGAACTAAATATTTTATAATTTTTTTAAATCTTATATATTAAGTGTCAATCCATCCAAATATTTCAGAAACTATTTGATTATATGAAATTTTTAGTGCCAATTTTCAGTGATTATATGAAATTTTAGAATAATAGTACATATAATACAAATAATATAGATTAACAATTTGTTTAATATATATAATATATATAATATATAATATAATATATAATATATAAAATAATATAAACCATTAGATTAAAAAAGATAGATTAGATTAGATTAGATGAAACCAAAATATTGCTTCATTATTTTCATCATTTAATCATACAAATTATTTTGTCTGTTATTACTTTTACTTTTATTATAATTTTATCATAAGAAAAATATAGTAAATTTATATTATATATTTTATTATTTTCTTACAAATGAAAATATATATATATATATATATATATAAAATATTTCAAAAATATAGGAATATCAATTAACCAGATATTCTTAAATTCAAGCAATATTTTTATGAAAACTTTATGAAACTATAATTTTGTTAACGAATTATTAATAAAAAATAAAAAATGGAGCGCGTAATCAAGCCATAATGTTGGATACATGCCGCTGGTTAAACATGAATAAATTCAAATATATATTGAAGAAAATCTGTTGAATATAATAAATATTTTTTTATTAAAAAGAAATTATCGATTTATTTTTTATTAAAACAACAATATTATTTTTATTTTATTAAACAATGAATAAATTAATTAATTGCTATTATCCTCCTATATTTATCCTTTGTTATTCTTTTTTTTTTTCATTCTCATTCTCTTATCTCTATTGTCGTCAATCTTTCATTGCATCTTTTTCTTCCTTTATCATTCTTTTTTTTTTTTATCCCTCTCCTGTTACTATCCTTTATCATTTTTTTCTTCCTTTCTTTATCACTTTCCTTCTGTTGTTCTTTGCTATCGCATTTTTTTTTATGATTTTCTTCTTTCTTTTTTCTTTGTCTTCTTCCTTTCTCCTTTTTTATCATTCCTTTATTTTATCATCTTTTTTATCCGTTTTTTATCATTGCACTCTTTGTTATTTTCTTCTGAGTCTCTTTTGTCATTTTTCTCTTTTCTTCTTTATCTTCTTCCTTTTGCGTTGCTTTATCATTCTCTTCCGTTTATCGTTATTTTTATTACTCTCTCTTCTTCTTTTCTCTTCCAAATATATATTATTTATTGTTTATTTGTTAGAAATATTCTATATATGTATTTTTATATTTATTTTATACAATAATTTGACATTATTCGTTTTAAATGATGAATAAATATGATTAATAATATACACAATATATAAAAAAAATATTTATAAAGCATATATATTATATACGTTGGTGTATTTCTTTTTCGATTTCAGTTCAAAAAAATTAATACAACATGCAGGAAATTTTGTATTTTTTTAAAACTGGATTAAATATTTTATATTTATTAAATATTTTATTATCATTATTGTAAAATTTTATTCATTTTTACGTAATACAATATTTTTATTATAAAATGTAAATTAAACATTTTATTTGTAAAGAAAAATTAATAATTAAAAGATATTATATATTATAATTAAAAGATATTATATATTAACTACTGATTACTAGTTTATTGAATAATTTATTTTATTTATTGTTGAAATCGCCGTACCGTTTTTCGTGTCGAAAACATAGAATTTTGTTCCAAATTTTTATATT